AACTGAGGCTCAGGGAGACAGGTGAAGCAACTGGCTCCCTCCCCACGGCTGACTAGTGGCAGAGCCGGATGATGGGGTCGCCAAGGCACGCGGGAGGCCAGCGCCATCCTCCCCGCTTCTCTCCGCAGAATTAAGGGGAGTGACTCCCACCCCCAAGCCGGGGAAGCCCCTCCATGCCCACCCGCTTCGGGCTCAAACCCTGGCAAAAGACTGCCGCCAGCTGCAGCCACTCTTGGCACCACCTAGGGCTCAGCCAGACCAGACCCCCGCCACGGAGAAACCCTCCGGCTTGTGGACGGAGGGAGCGGCTCTGCTCCGGCCACCGCGCCTCTATCCGGGAAGCAGACAGCGAGACGAGAGGAAAGAGCCGCTGCGGCGCCGGGGAGGGGCCTTTGCGTGTCCAGCTCCCGGCGGAGTCGAACAGAACCGAGCAAAGCCGAACTTGGCCGAGCAGAGCCGAGTCCGGCCGAGCCCAGCGTGTCCGTCCGATTATCGCCGGGTCTGACCGAGTGGATCCGACTGGTGCCGAATAGAGCCGAGTCCGGCTGACCGGAGCGGCTGAGGGCGCCAAGCGGAGAGGGGAAGGTTACGCGGCGCCCCCTGCCGGACACAGAGCACAGTGCTGGCGTCGGCCGGAGCCAACCCGCCGCCTCCCGGTCCTGCGACAGTCCTGTGAGATGGGGCTACGGAGCCCATTTTACGGATGAGGAAACTGAGGCTCCAAGAGGTTTTGAGGCTGGCCCAAAGGCATGCAGAGCTAAGAAGTGGTGGCTGTGAGGCTCGAAATGGATTGTGTGGCCGTGAGCTCACCTGCCACGCCACCCATGTCAATGGGCGTTGTGTGTTTGCTTTGTTCTCCCCATAATCGCTGCCATTTATCATGGTCAGCAAGGAGGAAGGACCCACCCTGTCTGATGAGCGGGCTGAAGGCCCGCGCCAAGCACAGAGACAACCCCTCCTCTTACAGATGGTGAAACCAAGCAGGCTCCGGGCACACTGACCAAGTGCAGCAAGGCCGGCAGTTCCTGTGTGCAAATATTGCCATATTTCCTGTCATTAACGCAGACAGCGGGACCGAGAGGCCCCGTACTCCTGCAGGCCTCATTTTCCCTTCCCGTTAACAAAATGGCCAGAGGCCAGGAGATCCTGGCTGTGTACAGGCTGTGTCCCTAGGCTGTGTGAGCCAGGACCTGGGGTGTCTGGGACCCTGGAGGAGGCCAAGTGTGGCCCCGGGCACTTTCTTTGAGCCTGTGAAAAAGTGAAGACTGGCTTTGCTCTCCGTGCACACGTATGTGCATGAGTGTGTCACTGACATTCACTCCTGGGTACACACCACCTTAGCCTGCCAGGCAGGCCTATGCCGAGGCTGCAGGGCTCGCTAGAGGGTGCTCGCAACAAGTGAGTAGTGTCAGGGGAAGCCCGCGGTCAGACTGCACTAGCGGGAGCAGCCGCCCCTGCTGGCCAGGGACTCCTGGGGTTGGTCCAGCTCGGTGTCGATCATCCCTTCTCTGCTTTTCTCCTGGACGTTCTCCATTCCAGGCAGAGCCGAGGCCACGCGTCGGAAGAGCTGCTTCACGTTGTAGCCGGTCTTGGCACCGGTCTCGATGAACGTGGCGCTCAGTTCTTTGGCACGCCGCTCGCCCTCCCGGAGGGTCGCCTGCCTCTTGTCGTCCAAGTTGGTCTTGTTGCCCACCAGCAGGATGATGACGTCACTGCCCCCGGCTGTCCTGACGTCATCGATCTGCTGGTCTGGGCTGCCCTTCATGCCTGTTGAGTCTTGCCCAAGGACATCATCTGTTACTGCCAGTGGCCGCCAAGGAGCTGGCACCATTGGCCTCAGAGCTCTTTCCACCCCCAGCATCACTCCTGCCACCCTGGCCCTCAATTTCATAGTTTCTAAAAGCTACAGACACTGGACTGGGGACTAGGAAAACGTGGTTCTCGGTCCTGCCTCTGGTGCTGTGACCCTGGGCAAATCACATGACCATCCCAGGCCTCACTATCTTCAGCTGTAAAATGGGTAGCAGAGCTGTTCTTAGTACCCTGAACATCTCGCATGCCGCCTCCTGGTGCACAAACTCCAGTTCCCTCTTGTTGCTTGGCTGGGCTATAACCCTTCCGGGGAGACGCCCTCCCCAACCCACGGCTGGATTCTTGCTTCTGTTAAAGCACTTCTCGTGTTTCTTTAACACACAACACCTACAATGCACTGTTCTAAGCTGTTTATAAACCTCTATTCATTTAATCTTCCTAACAGTAGACATCTACTCTCATCTTCCTCTCAAAGAGGAGGAAACTGAGGCACAGGAAGGTTAATTAACTGGCTCTAGGTCAAACAGCTAGTGAATGGGTGAGCCGGGATTCAAAACCAGACAGTTCCAGGTTCTGGGGGCTTAAGAACCCCCTCTTTATCTCTTATGTTCAGTACCACTTCCTTCACCCCTGAAGCCAGGCCTTGTAATTCTCTGCCTTCAGCTTTTTGCGCTGGCGGCTGTTCCGTAAACACTTGTTGAAGGAAAGAATGAATGAATTAGTCCAAGGTCCTCCAGAGACCCAGGGGAGGAGGGACTGTTGGCTCCGTTTTGCGGGTGGGAATTGTATTAGTTTGCTGCCGGAACAACATACCACAAACTAGGTGGTTTAAACAGCAGGAATGTATTTTCTCATAATTCTGCAGGCTAGAAGTCCAAGATCAAGGTGTCAGGCAGGGTTGCTTCCTTCTGAGGACTGTGAGGAAGGACCTCTTCCAGGCCTCTCTCCCGGCTTCTGGTGATTTGCAGGCAATCTTTGGCATTAACTTGTGGAAACATCACTCCAGCATTTTCCCCATGCTCGTGTCTGTGTCCTAATCTTCCCTTTTCTTAAAAACACCAGTCATATTGGAATAGGACCCCACCTGACTCCAGGGTGACATCATCTTAGCTGCTTATAACTGCAAGGACCCTGTTTCCAAATAAGGTCACATCCGGAGGTACTAGAGGTTAGAACTTCATATGAATTTGAGGGAGGAGCGGTACACAATTCAATGCACAACTGGAATTAAACCTCCTAGGAGGTCCTGTCTGACACAGCTTCTGTCCCTGAATTGGGCCTCACCTCTGCTTTTCTTCCTTTCATTCACTGCCTTCCTTCAACCCCAGGGCCTTAGCACATACAGCCTCCCTGCCGGGCACACTCAGGTTCACCCTCTGCTCTCAGTGCCGCCCCCAACACGGACCCCTCCCCCCAGCTGTGATCCCCCAGAGCACAGGGCACTGCCGTCCCTACTGGACGGTGGTCCATTTACTTGTGCAGTTGCTCGTGAGTGCCACAAGGCCCGGGAACCGTGTCTGTTTCCCCAGCCCGGTGTCAGGGCCTTGCACACAGTGAGCACTCAGAAAAGTCTTTATTAACTTAATGAACTTTGCCCAGAGAGGTCAGTGAAAGGCCAAGGCTGTGTGGTAGGTTCGTGGCAGAGTGGGCCTAGGTCCCAGGCCTCCTGACTTTGGGTCTCATGACATTTGGGGGATGTGTTTGCCCCATGGCCTTCCAGTAGAGTCACCAAGAGTCTCACCAGGGCCTGCCAGTGACAGGGGAGCACCCTGAGGTTTTGGCAGGACCGTGGCCTTGCACAACTGCAGGGAAAGCTCCTCACATTACAGCCTGGGGTTCTTGCTGCCTTTAGAGTGCTTTCTTCTGTGTCTGGAGTCCTGTGGCACCCAGGCTGTCACCTCCCCATGGGACTGTCACCTCTCCATGGGACTGTGGCCTCCGTCTCCCCCACCCCTTGGAGGTGAGGAGGGCTTGAAGCCCTGGGGCCTTGGCCTCCCCTATCCCAGGGCCTACAGGCTCCTGACTCCTTTCTGCTGGTGCTCAGGCTGACATATGAAGTCCTGGTCCAGAGCCTGGTGGCCATGGGCTGTTGCCAGGCAACAGCCTCCGAGAGACAAGTTCAAGGTAAGGTCTTGGGTCTGAGCAACTTGGATGTCTGGAGAGACGGAATCAGGCAGAGAGGGTCATCGCCACCCCTTCCTGCCGGCTCGAGCTCACAGCCCCAGAGCCTGCCCTCAGCCCACAGCCCCTGCAGTTCCCATAACCCACAGATCCCAGCCCCAAACCCCCATATAACTCCTTCCATTCCCCTGATGCTCCCCCATTTATTAAGGGTCACCACATTGCACAGATCCAAAGGAGGCTAGAGTGACAGTGTGAAAATTCCCCCCTGAAATTGAGAAATGGAATTTCCCCCATTCAGTCATTTATTCCAAATAGTCATATGAGGGGCCCACAGCACTGCCAGACCCTGGGAACACAGATGCATCAGGCACTGTCCCTGCCTGGAGGGACAAAGCTATTGGGACACCACACACACACACGCACACACACACACACAAACGCGCACGCACACACACGCACGCACACACACACACACACGCACAAGAGCGTGCACAGGTAGTGACATATGGTGAGATGGGGAAGCTGGAGGGCTGTGGGATCCAGAGAGGGGACCCTGGCCCAGGCCCACTCCCTACACAACCTGGGCTGCAAGCAGGTCCTCTGCTCCCACCCCGTGCACACCTGCCACACACACAGCAGGCCCTCAGTGTTACACCCCAATACACATTCACTCGTGGATATGGTGAGATGCCCTGAGCACCTACTACGTGCCCTGCACTCCGTTTACACACCCCTCCCCCATCCCATTATTGTTGCTGCCTGGCTCTTCTCTCCCTGCCATTGATAGTCAGTCCCTGACCCAACTCCTACCCCACTGGTCAGGCCAAACTGTCCATCACAGTGTCCCACCTTCTCTCTAGCTGGAAAGATGGGCACGTGACCCACATCTGGCCAATCATGGCATTCTAGCACCTTGTCTTTGGTGATTGGCCCAAGGGGCCATCCTGTGACTCAGTTAGAACCAGTCAGTTCTCTTGCATGAGATCTGATATTTGGACACAGGAAGAGAGTATATCTACTGCCTTTGGATCAAGATCTGTAAGGGTGCAGGCCGAGGCTTGTCAGGGACGTCTTCCATCCCTCCTGGAGGACCAGGATTCTGGGAGGCTATACACAAAGAGGCCTGGGCACGCAGAGCTGAGAGACAGGAGAGAAGGAGCACCCCGATAGAGACGGATGCCCGTACCCACCCCCACCCAGGCACACCCGTCTAAAAACACAGCGCCCGCCAGAGGAATTGGCCCAGGCCAGTTGTCATGTGTCACTGACTTTATTGACAAGAGTTAGAGTCAGAATTTCCCTAAGGGGCCTCCCAGCCACCCTTGTAGAACAGGCTCACTTGTCCCAGGAATCAGGAAAGTAGGGTTGGCCAGGAAAACAGGAAATGCTGGAATGCCAGGGGCCCTCTTTCCTCAGACCCCCAGATCCGCCTCAGGGGACACCAGACTGAGGACTGGGCCTCCAACCTCCACACAAGCTCTAGTTTTGTAAACTTCTTTCCCCCTGATGGGGCCTCACTCTCCCCCAAGCCCTACCTCCCTGATCCTTGGTCTCTGACCCCCAGCTTCCCTTCCTCATGTCCTGTAGCGCCCTCAGCCCCAAGGGCTGGAGACAGAGAAGCCACTTGGTGAAGGAGAAGGGGTTGAAGGCCACGCCTGGCAGGGGGCTGCCTCCACTCTGTAATCTGTTAAGGCCCAGCCCCAGCCATCGCAGTGTGCACGGCAGTTTACCCCAAACGACTCCTTTTCTTCCCAAATCCCAGGAGGCAGGCAAGCTGGGACAAGCACTTCCACTTTATGATGGGAAACTGAGGCCCAGAGAGGTCAAGGCTACACAGGATCTGAAGGTGAGTTGAAGATCTAGGCTTCCCAACTTGTGGTCCCCATGCTTTCCCTGAGGACCCCCTACCCTCTGCGGGGTGGAGTGTCGGGAGATTTAACTGGAGGTTCCACCGTCCCCGGGACCAGTCTCGCTGTGGCTCTAAGGGGTCATCTCTGGGAGGGCGTCCAGGCCAGCCCCAGGCCCAGCCTTGGACAGTGGCCTCTCCCTGTGGCCTCTCTCCAGCCTCCTCTAGTCTTGTCTTCCTTAGGCCTTTCCGACGTGCTGCCCCGGGGCATGTAGAGGACCCGGTGGCCTGCTCCCCAGCCTGCAGCGCTGCCCCACTCCTCCCAACCTCTCCGGGGAGCCAGGCCTTGCTTCTCAGCTCTGCCCCCAGGCTTCCACCAAGGCCTAACCCTTCTTACCAGCACTGCAGGCCCTCAAGGGGGCTGAGCCTGTACCTTTCAGAGCATTTGCTTTTCCACCCTGATGGCATCCTTTCCTTGAGTTTCATCAGGCCAGGCACTGGCAACCATGTTTCGTTGATGCTGCAACTGAGCTCAGCCCAGAGGGGCCAAGGTCGGCCCCAAGGTCATGGAGCAGATCTGTCCTCCACCTCCTCCTCCTTTGCCTTTCCCTTCCCCCTTCCTCTCCCTCCTCTTCTTCTTCCTTCTCCTCCCAGCTCTGTTTAGACACTCCGCCTTTCCGTTCCAGTCTGCCTGGGCCAGGTCCCTACTTTAGTCGCCGAGTGGGGAGAAGCAGGGAGGATTTCTCCTATGAGGAGGTTCCTGAGCCCTCAAAGACCCTGAGACCCCCTCCAGCCACAGGACACAAAGTGAGCTGCTTTGAGGATTGATTAGCTGCCCCCAACAGGGCCTGAGCTAGCCTTTGGGTGGCCTAAGCTTATGCAATATGGGGTCCCTCTTTAAGAAAAGGGGTACAAAATTACCAGTATGAAATTAGACTCAGGGCCTCAGAAGGGCCCGAGCAGTCAGGGACCCTGAAGCTCGACTCAATTAGCTTCCTGGAAAATCACGTCTTCCCCTCTTGTCTGGGAATACAGGAGTCCTGGCATTGACTGTCTGGGCCAAGGGGGCCTGGAGGTTATTGGGTTGTTTAGCAGGTGAGGCCTGAGGCCCAGAGAGGAGAAGAGCTGGCCCACAGCCTTGCAGCAAGACGGGGAGAGCTGATGGGGGCCTGGGCAATCTCACACCCCTTCTCCCTACCACTCCCTGTGCAGTACCACTCCCTGTGAATGTGGGCCCCCACTCCCTCTTTTGTGAACCTGACTCTGAGCCCGGGAAATCCAGGCCTTGGTTTATCCCTCTGAGGGCCAAGATTGAGGATGCTCTGTTTCGGAAGGGGAAAGCCAGTCGGTACCTATCCCCTTAACCTGACCCTACCCAGCCCGGCAGAGATGCCCCTCCAGACTTATCTGATAGAGCTCGTCCAGGCCGTATCTCCCATCCCTGAGTCACAGAGGAGAACACAAGGCCCAGAGAGGGGAAGTGACCTATCTGAGGTCACACAGCAAGTCTCGGCAGCAATGGCATCAGAGCCCAGGCTTCTGAACTTCCCATCACGGACCCCTGGCACCTCAGGTGGCATGCCCTAGGCATACCCACAGTCTTTGCCCTGTCCTTGGGCTACCCTGACCCTCCGCAGGCCCTTACAGATAGCTGATGTGCAGGGTGCCTGACTTCTCCGCAGCTGAGGGCTCTTGGGGTAGGAACTGACGCTCCTTTCTGGTGGGGCCGCTGGGAGGCTGCTCCTGTCCGCTGGGACCCGGCTGCGTGATGCGGTTGACCCCACCATTCATCTCCTTCGGCCCTTCATGCTCCCCTGCTCCCTCCTGCCCAGCCTCCCCACCTCCATCCTCTCCTTCATCCTCTTCTTCCTCTGTCTTCTCTGGAGGCCCCAGGGGAGGCTCCTGGTTGCGCACACGGCGGGAGGGCCGCAGCAGGACCCTGCGGAAGCCCTGCTTGAAGCGGTAGGAGAGGAAGCCGTAAAGGATGGGGTTGGCACAGCTGTTGGCGTAGGGCAGCGCCACCACCAGGAAGTAGAGGCCGAAGAAGGCGGGTTCCTCGGGCAGCGGGCACACCACGTTGATGATGTTGAGCACATAAAAGGGCATCCAGCAGAGGACAAAGAGTGCCACCACGGCCACCACCATGCGCGTGACCCTGCGCTCAGAATGCCGCCGCCGCTGGCACGAGGGTGCCCACACCCGCCGCCCAGCTGAGCGCACCTTGACCACGATGAGCAGGTAGCAGAGGCAAATGACCAGCAGCGGCCCAAAGAAGCCCAGTGCGGCCGTGTAGATGATGAAGCCAGCCCGCCAGGCCGCTGCCGGCTCAGGCCACTGCATGTGGCAGGTGCTCATGCCACGGGGCACGCCCGAGAACACCACCACGGGCAGCACTACCACGGCTGAGGCCACCCAGACGGCCGCACTGACTGTGCGGGCCACGGGCGCCGTGCGCCAGCGGGCCGAGCGGGTGGGATGCGCTACCGCCAAGTAGCGGTCCACGCTCATGACGGTGAGACAGAAGATGCTGGTGAACTGGTTGATGCCGTCCACGGCCATGACCAGGCGGCACATGAGGGCCCCGAAGGGCCAGTAGGACAGGGCGTTCTGGGCGGCCAGGAAGGGCAGCCCCAGCATGAAAAGCTCATCAGCCAGCGCCAGGTTGAGGATGTAGATGTTGGTGACCGACGGGCTGGCCGTCTGTCGCAGGACCACGTAGATGACCAGTGAGTTGCCCAGCAGGCCCACAACGCACACCACCAGGTAGACCAGTGGGATCAGAATGCCACTGACAGCCAGCCCTACTGCACTCTGCGCTGTGGACGCGTTTCCGAGGATGGCATCCAGGGGCCAAGCGGAAGAGGCGTTCCAGGGTTCCGAGGGCGTGGGCAACGGTGAAGGATAGCCAGGGGTGTCCATGGCCAAGAGAGGATGGTCAGCAGTCAGCTACTAGCCTGGAGGAGGGAGGACACAGTTTGGTCATGGCAGGGCACGGCTTTGTCTCTTCAGCCCCTCCCCCATCACACTGAACTTGGAGACTTCCTGGGCACCTGGCCAGAGTTTGATGTGTCACGGCTCATTCACTCTGCCCAGGCCAGCAAGGGAGGCGGGCAAGGTATCCCCACTTCTCACATGAGGAAACTGAGTCTCAGAGAGGTGAAGTGACCACGCTGTACCACATAGCGGGGGTGTGGCATGGGACTCCGGCTCGCCTGGCCCCAAAAAGCAGGACCAGCACTGACCTGGACACCAGTGACCCTTCACTTGCGCACAGGGCAAGTGCTCCGCAAATGTTCAGCAAGGGGATCATTCGATAAGCTGATGACAACATAAGCCCTTTCCTCCATATCAGCATTTTCCAACCGTTTTTGACACCAGTGCGTTTTACATTGCAACCCGACGTCATATTGTTCCATAAAACAAAATCTGCCCTTTCTACGTGTGATTAGCCTGCTGGCAGAGCCCCAAGTGGATCACACGCTGTGATAGACTGAATGTGTCCTCCCCCACGCCAAACTGATATGTTAAAATCCTAACCCCCAGTGTGATGGTATTAGATGGGAGGGCCTTTGGGGGGGGTGATTCGGTGGCGAGGGTAGAGCCCTCATGAATGGGATTAGTGCCCTTCTAACCCCAGAGAGCTCCCATGTCCCTTCTGCCATGCAAGGAAACAGCAAGAAAACAGCCACTATGAACCGGGAAGCAGGTCCTCACCAGACACCGAATCTGCCGGCACACTGATCTCGGACTTCCCAGCCTCCAGAACGGTGAGGAATGAACTTCTGTTGTTTATAAGCTACCCAGCCTATGGTATTCCGTTACAACAATCTGGACAGACTAAGACACCCCCCAAACAGGTCTCAGCTCTCATGCTAGAAAAACACTGCTGCATATCACAGGTCCTTAACCTTGAACCCAAGTCTCTTGATGAACTTCAGAGGATCCATAAACCCCCCAAACTCTGGTGAAAGTTAATACATCCTTGTTTTTTCTGGGCAGAGCCCAGCGCTTTCATCAGATTCCTTAGATTCTGAATGGAGTTAAGAACCACAGGCTCAGAGGTGTCCCTTCCCCTGGAAATCAAAGCCCTTGAGGACTCTCTCAGCCCTGCTCGTCCCACTGCACTGCGACAAAGGCCCTGCTGTGAACAGGGCTGTGAAGGATGATTGGCTGTGAACCTGGGGGGGGTGGGCGGCTGGGGCCCCTTCTGCCCCAAAGGCTGGCCGATGGTGGAGAAATTCACAACACGCTGGGGGTAAGGACAAGAACAGCCAGCTCCCCCCTGCGCTGGTGGGGGAGGCTCCCCCGAGAAGAGGACACTTCAAGTGGGTCTTGAAACGTGAGTAAGAGCTTGCCCAGCGGCACAGTGGGAACAAGCGTCCCCGTTCCCTCTGAGAGCACCTTCTTACTACACTTCTCGTGTGTTATAAGGAGCTGAGACGCCTCCTGGCTACGCTGCTAGAACTTGACTCTCAAGCGTGGAGATGCTAGGACTCGGCTCTGGTCCTTTCCCTCGTCCCTTTCATATAAGCGCAAGTTCTGCATCAGCGTTTGAGGCATCGAATGAATCAGAGGAACCCCGGTGGACAAATCTTAACGCAAAGGGAGGATGAATTGCTGACAGTGGGAATTCAGGCCCTGCTGGGAGAGACCTCCTGCCCCAGGATTGGCTAACCTCCCTCAGCAGGACTTTCTGGCTCTCCGGAGACCCAGTTAGAGGCCAGGGCTGAAAGCTGGAGTCTCTCTGCGACGGGACCTCCTCCCCTCCTTCCAAATGACCACCCCCTTCCCCAGTCCCTTGGCTGCTGGCTGCCCTGACTCTCCCTACAGAAACCCCAAGGGAGAAGGAAACCTCTCAGAGGAGCCTTCCTCCAGTGTTCTCCTGCCCGCCGACCACTGGACCTGAAATGCCTCCAGTGAGACCTATGGTCCCCACTGCCCTGTCCGGACACCACTTTTCACATGCGAAGCTCCTGGAAAGGGGAGGCGCCCCAACTCAGAGCAAACGCCTCTGGGTGGGTGAGCGTGCCCGGTGCCCCTGCCCAATACCTGGGATTTCCAAGGGCTCTGAGCACCAGGCGGGGTGATGCCAAGAATGGCAAAGAACCAATTGGCCCTGCCTCTTCCTGATGCTTCCCCAGGCTGGCCGGGCTCAGAGCACCCTCTCCCTGCTCCTCCAAGCCTGGTGAGAGCCCTCAACCTGCCCTCACCCCAGGCACTAAGCAAGGGGCAGTCTGGACAGTGGGCGCATAGGGTCCTAACAGTGCTGCCAGCCCTTCGTCACGGAGCTAAGGTTCCAGGCTAAGCAGTGACATGCAGCATCCTATAGGGTCCTATGAGGGAGGCAGTAGGGTTGTCCCCACAGTACAGACAGGGAACAAAATTGAGGCCATGCACTCTGGTCACACAGCTAGGAAGGGACAAAGCTGGGAGGATTCGTAAGACCATCTCCCGCCCACTCCATTTCACAGGCCGGCAGACTGAGGCCAGGCCTGGAGAAGGCACTTGTCTAAGGGTCATAGCTGGTCCGGCCAACTAGCTGGCATCCAGCTCTCCCACCAACCTATTCAGAGCTCTCCTCACTGCTCCTCAGGCTCTGGAACTATTAAGATCACGGGCCCACATCCCTAAACCCTTAGAGACCTAAAAATAGAATTTTAGAGTCTTAGAACTGAGTTGTAGAGTCATAGACTTTCAGACTCTATCTTGGAATCAGAGAAGGTCAGAATTCCAGAATGCTGGAATCAGCCCTTCTTAGACCTGGAATTGTGACCTTAGAGTCCAGACTTCCTCGGCTGGGGAGTCCTACGTCACCCGTCCATCCACCTCGCCTCCTTGTGTGCACATCCTCCTTATAGCATCCCCGCCAGGTGACAAATCACAACCCAGGGCTGGAGGAGGGAGGGGAGCAGCAGACTCCCAAGAGAGGAGCAGTGAGCCAGGAAAAGCTAATTTCCAGGCTGCAGGGACAGCTGCCCCCGGGGAAGCCGGAGGGTGAGCTCTGAGGACGGCCCCCCCTGCCCAGACACACACATGTGTACCCACAGGCACACGTGCTAACACACATGGCCCTGGCGAGAACACAATGTACCAGCCAGGCCCTGCCTTTGTACAGGAGGGTGAAATCGCCCCTCCCCAAGCCCTTGGTCCCCCCAGAAGACTCCCTGCCTCCACCCTTATCTGGGCCCATCTTCCCTGTCAAAGTTTAACGGGCCAGAGTACCAGAAGCAAGGAAATTATAGCTTTCCATTGGGGTAAGTCAGACCTGCAATTTAGATGCCACCTTTTCTTTAAGCAGCTAGGGTGCTGTGCTGATCTAGTTCATCCTTTGGAGAGGAGGGCCTTTTTCTCCTTGTCTGGTTTATCTTTGGCTCAAGCTTGCCTGAAAGCCGGGGGCGGACTCCTCAGAGGACCATTCCAGATGGAACAGAGGTCCAGAGAGGGTGAGTGGTTGCCCTGAGCCCCACAGCAATTCAGAATAGCCCCTCAGGGATGCCAGACACCCCAGTCGTCCTCCATTTGTCTATCTCCCACCCCCTCCCCCTCTAGACTGCCGGCTCTTGGGCGCAGGACCCTGAGTTATTTATAGCTGTAACCCTAGCACCCAGCACGGCACGCAGGACATCTGCAAACGTGAACAGACCAAGCAGTTCAGCAAGTAGAACTAGGAGTGAAGTAGGAGGGCGCTCCTGGGCAGCCTCGAGCTCACATCATGAGAGCCTCACCAAGCCCAAGGTGGGGGGTGGTTTAGAGAGGAGGAACGTGAGGTTCAGAGAGGTTCAGTAAACTGTGCAAGGTCACTCAGCTGCTGAGTGCGAGGCCAGAAGGTGAGCCCAGTTCTGTTTGTTCCTAAACCATCCCTACCTCCCAGCCCTGTGCGCTTCCCTGAAGACCTCGGGCTGAGAGGCATCAAGGACTGAGACAGCCCTGGACAACGCAGGCAGGTAGTCCCTGGCTGACTCTACGTCCTTCTTTCTCTCTGCTCCCCTGGGCCTGCCCCCAGGGAAGAGGCCCAGATCTTCAGTGCCCCCCCAACCTCAGACCTCGGGTCTGACACACAGGAACACACCCCACAAGCCCACAAGCCCTAGGTTGGGGGCTTGGGCTCTGCCACAGAGGGAGGATGCCAAATTGCTGTGTGACCTTGGGCAACTCACTTCCCATCTCTGGACCTCAGTTTTTCCTATAAAAATGAAGACAAGCCTACCCACCTCCCAGGGTTGTTGTAAAGATTAAATGGGAGTGTGCTGAGCACGGTGCCCAGCCCAGCGGGGGAGCTCAGGAGAGCTGGCATTTGAGCCAAGGAGGCTAAATGCCGTGATGCATCTGGTTTTGTCCAGCTCCAACACTGCTGATCTGTGACTCCAAGATTCTGGAATCATGGTATGAGATTCCGAGATTAATGCGCACCCTCCAGCCCCCCGCTGTCCACGAAGACGTCGCAGGTTGTCCTCCTTCCTCCCTGGACCTTCCACCCTCTCCCAGTCCCCATCCCCAGCCTCCCAAGTTCATCCTGCGCAGAGGGTGAGCTCCAGCACCCCACCCTCTGGGACCCCATCCAGGCCCCAGCCTCCTTACCTGCCCATGGGGTGAGGGCTCCCCTCCTTGCTGCCAAGCCGGTTATCATTCTGCTGCCCCCTCTCCCTGCCCAGTCCCCAGTGCCCCCGAGCACCCCTTAGCCGGGCTCCCCACACTGTGCCCACTTTTAGATGGCTCGCGAACGGAGCCCCCTCCTAGGCCTGCAGCGGCCACGTCTGCCCACAGAGCCGCTCCCATCTGGTCTCCGGCCCTGACTTCCCACCAGCGCCTGGTGCGTCACCCCCCATCTCCAGGACACGTCTTGGGTGGTGGTGGGGGATAGGGGCACAGATGGGGGGTCTGCAAGCAGGAGCCTGGGGTGGGGGAGGAGGGAGAAGCCTCCCAAGAAAAAGAAGAGAAATGGGGAACAGGGGACCATAAAAAGCCAATAGAAAGAGAGGGGAAAGGGGGGTCGGTCGGAGGTAGAGAGAGAGGGAGAGACAGAGAAGACGGCAGTGGGTGGAAAGCCAGAATGAGGGGGAGTGATGAGAAATGCGTGACAGGAGAAGAGAAAGAGGAGGAAAGAGCAAGAGAAGGGGCGAGAGGGAGGGATGCAGAAAGAGATGCAGGGAGAGAAAGCGGGGAAGGAGGGAGGAGAAGGAGGGGGTGGCAGGGAGAGTGACAGAGAAGGATTGTGCCACAGATGGTGACATGGAGAGCCAGGGAAGGAGGGAGCAGGAGTGGGGTGCGGGAGGAGCCCGGAGGAGGGGCCGGGAGGAGGGGCTGGAGCGCAGGTGCGGGTGAGGGAGGAGGGGCAGCAGGTTAGGGGAGGAGGCTGGAAGGGGTCGCAGATCCTGTTACCGGGGAGATTTCAGCCACCCACGCTGGCCTTGCCTCCCCCAGAAAGGGGTTGGAAAGGAGAGCGTGGTACTCAGGGCAGCTGGGGTCCGAGAGCCAGTGGTGGGACGCCGCCCAGGCCACCATGCACACGTCCCCCAGGGTGACAGCTGGGTTCCAAGGCCAGTGCCGCAAGGAGGGCTGGGAGCACGGGGCGAGCACTGGGTGGGGAGTACACAGTCCTACGGTCCGGGTTCCCCAGCCGCAGAGGAAGGCCGGATGGGGGTTATCAGCCCTGAGACTGGTTGAGTCTGGAGAGCCCCGGGCAGGGTGAGGGATAGAAGGACAGGGTAAAGAAGAACTATTTCAGGCTTTGGGGGCCAAGAGGCAACATCAAAGCCAGTATACAGGAGAACACAAATTTCCACTCTTTGTACATTGACAAAATTTCAAATGATAAATAATTGAGGACTTTTTTGCTGTTGTTGTTAATACAGATCTACTATTGACGAGGGTGGAATTCTTTTTTTTTTTTTTTTTTTGGAGGGGTAACATTTTGCTTCATCGGAGTTCTGGTTTGTAGAAAACAGCCCTAGCCGGCAGGCTATACAGAAACAGGCGGGAAGCCAGACTTGGCCCCTGGATCCCCCTGGACAGAGACCCTAAGATCTCTGTCTGGAGCCTGAGCACAGGCCTGGCTGCCCCTGGACGCCGTACCCCAGCTTGTGCCAACCAGCCATGTGACCATGGGTAAGTTGTCCCCTCTCTGGGCCTCAGTTTTCCCATCTGGATCATGGGGAGATGGGACTAGATCACTCCTAAGTTCCTCTTTGGATAAGAGCATCGTAAGCGCATAAGGATCAGTGAGTAATGACCATGGTTTTTATGAAGCCCTCCTCCGAAGCGGGCTGCTTCACATATATCACCGAGCTTCATGGCCACCACACCGCCTATGGTGAGCAGTGTTAGCGTTTCCAGGTGAGGAAGCTGGGGCTCAGAGAGGGCAAGCAGTTTACTCAGATCATACAGCTAGTGAGTGGAGAGGCTGGATGGCTTCACGCCAAAGGCATGCTCTTAAGCACCTTGCCCACCTGAGCGGCCTGACCCGTTTTGAGAAGGCAATGGAGGATAACAGCCAGGAAGGGAGAGAAGAAGGAAAGGAGTGTTTATTGAGCACCTACTATGTGCCAGGCCCCTTTCCACACTCGGCCATTCCTCAGGACCAGGGCTGGACTGACTGTGCCCCTAGGTCCCCCGGGCTGGTGTGTTATAGGCCCTCAGAGAGCCTTGCTCTTGCAGAGGTGGCGCTCTGGCTGCTGCAGCACACAGTAGGACAAAGGCGGGGGAGGGGGGACACCGCTTCCGCCTGGAGCCCCCCCACCCCCCAGCAAGGCCCTCCCTCCAGGCGCCAGTGATCTGTCTGTTCGAGTTCATGAGGAGTGGGTGGGCTCTGAGGCAGCTCCTGGGAGTGAGGGGGGCAGTGTCCACGGCTCTGTCCCTCCCCCACCCAAGGCCCTCCTGTGGCTTCTCAGCAGCTCAGAATAAAGCCCACCCCTTGCAGCCCACCAGGCTTTGCACCCTCCCTGCCTTGCCGCCTGCCCAGGTCTCCTCCTCTGCTGATCTCCTTCACCTACCTATGCTCCAGGCACACCCGGCCTCACTAGTTCATTCGTTTGTTTGGTCTTTCCTTCGTTCATTAGACAGGTGAGCTCAGAAGGCCTCTCTGAGGAGGTGAGAGAGATGGGATGGGACGGCGGCGCTCAGCTCTGAGGTGAGGACAAGCGTGTGTGTTTGAGGGATGAGAAGGAGACCAGTGTGACTGGAGAGGAGGGAGGCGGGGAGGCCGCCGAGGCCAGACCGCGTAGAGCCTTGTGCTCTCAGGCTGTGTGTTGGGAGCCTTGTGGGGCGTGAGCAGAGGAGTTTTGTGACCCGGTTTACGTTTTTCAAAGGCTCACCAGTCAGGAACCGGTGAGAAAGTGTTGGTCCTCCTCAGGGCCTTTGCACAGGCGGTACCCTCCGCCCGGCCACTCTCCTCACCCTTTCCCACCCCCACGTGTGAGAGGAAGTCCTCCTTCAAGGGGCCTCTTCCTGGATGCTCCCCTGCCCTGGACCAGCCAGGCCCCTCCCCTGGACTTCCCAGAGCCCCCCACCCCGACCCTGGCCTCACATGGC